TATATATATATATATATATATATATACCTTGCATAGACCCTGGAACGCTATGCACATGCCCGCCGTCCGCGAGTCCATGCCACACGCAAGCCCTTTTGTGGCTGCCCTATCCGCAATGCTTGGGTGTGTTTGCTGGATGCTGTTTTGGCTGTTACAGCGGCTGTTAGAAGCCTTTGCAGGTGATGCGTTGCGAGCTGCAACCAGTAATAACCCCACACCTTCCTCTGACGGCTGGCAGGGGCCCTTAGAAACCCCTGAGGACGGGAGCTGCATCACTAGGAAGAGAAAGAGCAGCATCATCGGAGTGGACGATTGCCAAGGAATGCAGCTGCCTCCGCAGATTGATGGGGGGTGCAGCAGCAATCGCTGCTCACCCTGGCAACCACCTGAGCTCGCAGACGAAGAAGATCCTTTTGCTGCCTTTTACGTGTCCAACTTCCGCATCAGCAAGCGGCATGGAAGGGCCTCTCGAGAAGCGAAAGCCTCCCTCTCTGTGCGAAAACAAAAACAGCCCTTAGACAAAGGCCTCCTCTCTAAGCAGCAGAAGCAACTCCTGCGGAAACACCTGCGCCAACAGCAACCATGCGACACACGCCTCTCTGCTGGCCTCCAAGCTCTCAGGAACGACAAGGGCGGCTTGCTGGAGAGCTCTCGCTGCGGATGCAGGTTCGCTTCCTCACAACTGGCTCGACTGCTTTGCTGCAAGATGCACCGTTTTACCCGCGAAATCGCCGTGTTCATGCATCGCCCCCTTAATAACAATGTGCGTTTCTGACACCTTAAGTCTTCTCCATATAGCAGTTCTTCTTGTTAATAAGCGCATCTGGGGGACAGAGCTGCTGATGTGTTGAACGCATGTGCAAACCCGATTTCAAGTGGCAACGGCCACTAAACATACATATATATATCTATGTGTATATATATCCCCTTTATATTCATGTACATTAGGCTGCGTAGATCTATCTACGCTTTCAATGTGCGTGCATCGATGCTGCTTACGCGTTTCTCAGTTGAACATGCATCCATATACATACATACACATACACGTACATGCGCATACGTATATATGTACATACATGTACATATATGTGCACTCCTACGTACCTTGTTATGTACTGCATGCGAGCTCTCTGCATGCGTGCCAAGTGGCCTCTAGCTAGGCAGCGACTGGGCAAGCGGCTGTGCATCAAAGGGGCAGCGCCTCTACTACAACTGCAAAGCCCTAGGCTGTCACAAGTGCACAAACATGGCGTGTGTATGTGCGTTCTGCGAAGCATCTGGCTGCCTATCTTCGCCCCGCTGCCTCCTTGGGCAGCGCCGGGGGTCCTTGTTGCCCACTGCAGCAGCTATAACCGCGGCGGGAGTTTCAAGGAACTCTCTTCATGCTGTAACGACAAGGCGCATAGTACAGACTTCCCCCCGCCACGGGGAACTGCATGCACTCGCTTGTGCTCGGACGCCTGTAAAATTGCCGTCCTAGACGCTCCAGATACGCCATATACTGCCATCGCTCAAAGACGAATCCGAGACTGCCCACTGGAAGTGGTGAGGAGGCGTGCAGGTTCTTAGGGTTACTCTCTTGTCCTCCGTCGAACCTGCTGTCATCTATGAGGTGTATACAGAGGGGGGCAGGTGACGGTCTATGCAGACTGCCCCCACACTCCCTTAGTGACGTATATATATATATACATATGTATATGTATATATATATATATATATATATATATATATATATATATATATATATATATATATATATGCGCGCTTGCCCTCGCAGCCAGCCAGATAGCCGGAATAGTGATCAGCAGAGCAGAGAGGCATACACTGACAATTCCCATGCTGCTGTACATACACATCTACTACCCATGTACACCCTCCTCCGCAGCATGGCCCTCGCGCCCCCTCCTGCCACGCGATGCGCTTTAAAACCAAGATCTTGTTTGTGTGCTTCCTGCCGTATTATGTATGTGTATTACATATATAAGCGGTAAATATATATATCTACATACAGTGGATTGACGGAAAGTTTTTTTCGTTGGCTAAAACTGCTTGTGCACACGCACAAATGCAACTGTAGCTGCGCTGACATGTAGATATATATATATATATATACATATATGCCTAGTGTCCGATATATACATGTATAGATATTATACAGATCTGTTTCTCAATGCCTTAAATTTGGTTCTATGTGCACATGTATGTTCTAACCCGTACGGCAGTTCGGGCGGACTTAAAGAGAAATTTCGAGACACCAATATGTAGCCTCTTTGACGCTGCATGCACCATTGCCAAGCGAAATTCGGCAGAGGCTCACACACGCGCGAGCTGCTGCTGCCCCCGATCCGCCTGTCAAACAACGCGGCAGCAGCATGTGCAGATGCTATGAGTGTCTTCTGCCTCAGAGCCTTATCGCAGGGCTGCAGCAACAGCCCCCAGGCAGCGATGGATTTGAAAGATTTGCGCTGGAACTAAATTCTCTGCAGCAGCAAGGAGCGACAGGAGGCACAAGGAGAGAGGCCTTGTTTTCTGCAGTGCTGCGTTCTCCACTGCTGCATCGGGCTGTTGCTCTCGGCGGCTCTAACGGCGTGTTGCCCCTCAGCCTGCAGCACTTGCTGCTGCTGCTGCAACATCAGCAAACCAACAAACTTACGGAGAAGGCTAAAAGCCTCATCCTAGGTCACGAGGTACGCCAGGGTTCATGCGCAAACACTAAATGTAGTGTGCAGGTGCCCACTGCCGACTACTACAAATACGCTTTCTCCTGCCCTTGCCGAAGCCGCCCCCCTTCCGTCGCTAATGCCTTCCTCTCCAGACAACGCAATGAATGCTCGTTGATCCTTTTCTGCCGCTGCTGCAGGCTGTGATGTTGGGCTGTGGCGCCATGCGGGGCTGTCGGGGATTGGTGGTTGCAGTGGACGCTGTGAGTGGCACTGCGTTGCTCCGCCTACCGGGGAAGGCCGAGGTGATTGCCGTGCGGTGTACAGAGAGCTATTTGTACTGCTCTCTGGCTACACGCTGCGAACTCCCCTGCTAGAAAACCAGTTTTTGCATGGTGTTTGTGCACACTTGCATGCGCTGGGTTGCAGACAGCTGCTGCAAAAAGCTGGGCCAAAATCAGCTGTATGTACAGGCAGGGGGTGGGGGAGATATGCATCGTCACATGTAGTGGGCAAGACCGGATTGCGTGGCAACCCGGCCGCGCAAAAGACTTTGCGTGCACTTTATAATATGCACATACATCGTCTACACCTATACAGTTGAGGCGACTGTACCTCCGTCCCCTCACTTCCGATATGCATGCGTCCACCACCTAACCGCCTCTAGATATGCACAGTCTCCTTCCGCGCGCGAACGCATGAGGGCGGTCAACTGTGGCGCTTCTCTGCCAGCTGTTCTCAGCCCTTCATGGCATCGCTTCCCCCAACATGACTGAGACACTGCAACTTTCTTAGCATGCTCCACATCTACATACTACTAGTACTACTAGCCGGACGCGAAGGCGCCGTCAAGCAGCCAGTATCGCAGCTACCTATGCCGAAGTGTCGCGGAGCTTGCGTAGCGGGTGCTTCGAGACGTACTGCCAAAATCAAGTGTTAACTCGAGTCGACGGGGTGTTCCCTGAGGCGGCGCACAGGGGGGACGGGAACCCGCGGGGGAGAGTCCCCCCTGCTGCGCCAAGAAAACGGCAAAATCAATATGAACAGACTCCCTCTAAATGCGGTTTGGGGGTGTGCTATGGGCTGCTTCGCCCGGGGATAGCATAGACCGCGGCGCGAACCGAGTGCAAGGTGTCATGCAAATGTATAATATACATGCACTAAAGCCATATACAGCGCATATAACCAGACTCACATATGTTGCAAGGAGCGATACACACAGATCAAGGCGTGAATGGTGACGGGGGGGTTGCCCCAAGCCCCCCCTTGTAAAGCCCCAAACTTGTTGCCTGGGCATGGAAGGGAAGGCCAGTAGCTCGAGACTCCACATGCAGCCTCAAGACTACTGCAACCCTATTGGCAACAGGTGTCGAGATGTAGATTGGCTTTAGGAGAGAGTAGGCCTTAGGTCATCAGGGAGGGCTCTGACTCCTTCCTAGCAGAGAATTTTTCAGAGTGGGCTTTCTGCTCCCCCCTTCCCCGACGTCCTCCAGACGCATGCAACCAAACAAAAGACAAGCCGACGCGGCAGAACAAAGCAGAGTGAGCTTGGTCTGCCCCCATGAGATGTGTACCCCTTCGCCCACACTCGTTTCAGTTCAAAGTGCGTTCACTGGCCAGCCTTCTTCTTCTTGTACGCCGCAACCTCCCTCTGGTAGCGCAGCTTGTCCGCCTCGGCCTTCTTCTCATAGGGCGCCTTTTGCGAAGGGCTCAGCTTTTTCCACTCCTCCCCAACAAGGGCCGCGATTTCCGTCGCTGACTTGACGTTGGGGTTCTTCTTACAGATCTCCTCCCTCTTGTCTTTCATGAAGAAGATGTACGCGGGAGTCCCCCGCTTAGGGGCGTCTGGGTCCTTCTTGGCCTTGACCTTCTTCCCGCCCTTTGCTGGCTTTGCAGCTTTCTTAGGCGCCATTGTGCAAGAGGTGTGGTTAGGTGTGTGGACACTCGGAAAGAGATGCCGCCAGGAAAGGGAAAGGTGCAACAAAAGCCCAAAACAATAAGGGAGAAGCAGAAAGACAGCTACAAAAGAATATTTTTTCTAGGGAGAGGCACACAGTCACTCACAACAGCAACAACAACCACAAACAGGTAGCACGAGGGGAGGAGGGGTGGCGCGGCCAGCCGCACCGTGATGTACCCTGTATGAACGCCCTACGGCAGTCACATACACCCGCCTTTTTCACTTTCTTCTACGGCTCAATTCCAATTATTTTAGCTTTTAGCCAATTAAATATGCTAAAATATTATAGAGAATAAAATTTGGCTTTTTTTAGCATGAAATTCGACTGTTCTGAGCTCTAGGGGGGTTCCTCAAGTAGGAGCCGCCCAGCTGAAGCCGCCCAGGACAGCAAACATACCGTGTAAGCCAAACAGGGGGCACTGACGTAAATAACTGAATTAGATAGGTATTAGATAAACACTTTTACTGCATGGAGCAAGTGCACATATCATATAGCCTAAAATATCTCCATATCTAAAGCGCTACAGTGGCTACACTCGCAAGGCACCGAACACTGCTACTCGCTCTGCAGCTATCGGGGAGATCTCGGTCTCGGGATGTCTTTGCATCCGAAATAAATGTAATGCATTATTCGCCTTGGCCTGCAGCACCGTCTTACTTTGTAGCTTCTTGTGCACCTATAGAGCGCCCTCCCCAGCACGAATAACACACCATCCCACCCCTCGTCACCCTTGTTAACGCTCCACTTAAACCCCCACTGCTTTTGTGTATAAACAGAGGACAACTGCATGATCCTCTGGCTTTCAATGACGGAGTCATTAATGCATAAGATCACCCCAGGGGAGATCCCTATTTTCTACCGCTAGCCAACCCTGGCACCAGTCCTAAAGTCGGTGCCTTAAGATGTGTGGAGGATAATGGTACACAAAGGGTTTGCAGCATATATATCTCTAAATATGAAGTAATAAAGGCGCACAGCTGTACGCTGTCGGAGACTCATTCCTAGCATTACCCTAGATCGCGGGTATCCTTTCGGCAGAGAGACTACTGATGCATGCCTTATCAGCAGAACCACAGTTGATTATTCCGCTGCTCCTCTGGCAACTGGATGATATGGGAGCTGATATATATACTTGAGTTAGTGGCAGTTGCCTACAAAAGGATCTATAGGATGTGGGGAGCCTCGGTTTCTAGTTACGCTGTAGTGCTGTTAGGATTCATTTCTGGAGCAAGTGCTATAAAGAAATTGTTTTTCAAGGAAGCAGCATAGAGACTGAGGGTGTTATTAGTGGACCTATTAAAATTTGAGGCGTGCTCTTGACGAGAGAAACAATGTTATTCACCGAGAGGCCCACATTCCTCGAGAAAAACAGTTCACTTGGTCTGCTTGTAAAGGGAGCTTACCTGCACTTGACCAGCGTGAGGCAAAGTTCTAGGGCCCTTAATAGAGCAGTAGCAAGGATAGCAGAGACACCCTGCAGAAGAGCAGCGCTTACACCAGAGAGTCGGATGGTGCTATTTCGCATGGTAGCGCTTTAAGAAAGGACTCCTGATAAAGACATTTGATGCCAGACGCAACGCGGAGTTGATAGGAAGCTGTGAGTCGTATCCAACAGAGTTCTCGCCTTTCCCTCCCCGTGAACATTACAGTTCGTACATGAGGGGAGGGACAGCAAGGAGATGCGTAGCTGCATCCTCTGAGCCCTCCGATCATTCACAGGTAGTTGCACAGACACGCACAACACATTCCGATTTTCGTTGAATCGATATCGCAGTACTTTGCAGTAAACACTCGTGGGCAATTGCATCCTAGTTCACAAGAAAATACAACAAGTTTAGTAAATAGTACCGAAGCTTGGTTTTGCCTCTACACGCAGCAAACCTGTGGCTCTCATTAGAGGCACACGTATTGCGGTCGGGAGGTTGATTCCGTTTGCGCGCCTTCCTCCTGTAGCAGTATGCGGCTTTCCTTTTCACGATTGAGGCTCTTTTGCCGAGCTTTGTACACTTTCTCCGCATTCCCCCGTCCCCCTTTGCAGAGCACTCTTGCTGTTAACGGCGTGTGGAGGAGCCTGATCCTGATGTTTACATAGCGCATGCAAATTCATGCACAGTGAGAGGGACCTGACTCTCCTCTTTAGCTTGTTTGAGAGGAAGAGGGGTGGTCGACAGAATAGAAAACGGAACGTGTTTACATCGAAGGTTCGCGTCGGGAAGCGCATCATCCGTATCGGGTTTTTTTCTTTTTCAGCTGTACCTAGCAAAAACACCAGGGGTACCACAATCTGATCTAGCAGAAAAGAACGTTTGCTGTATACCCTGTTTGCTTGACCTTTATATTCGCTGGAGCCATGTGTGCATTCATGCCTACATCACACGGCGGCCACTTTCCTTCAACTGCCCTTCCGAGAACTCTTGCTTTTCCAATAAGGCGATGCAGAGGGTACTCGGTTTGCTGAGCAGCAGCCAGGGCACAAAGAGTCAAGCGGCAACAAGCCGGAAGGCACGCTGAGCATCGGCACTCCTCCTTGCTGTGTGCGCCGCGAAAAGCGACAACCTGTCTAGACAGGCGATTGCATAAAAGCACAGAGTAAGTGCTTGTACACAGCAAGTTCAGGACAAAAAGGGCAAAGAAGTGCCATTTTTCCACTGAGGCACATGGGCATCCTATCCAGGCCCCGTATGGGCATACTTTGTAGCGGTAGCGTGTGGCTTAGTGAAGCCGTAGCACAAGCTCCTTGCTGCGCAAATCGGCACTTGAGGAGTGCAGGAACACACTTCTGAGTAAACGTGTATATTTGAGCAGCAAACGTTCAGCATTCTGTAGCTGGCCATTCGGCAGGATGCCAAGCAGCACTTTGATACTGCATTTCACTTCGTTTCATATTTTTAAGCACTAAATGAGAATTTGCTGGCTTGTTGAGTGATCCGAACCTTCTATTTATTTCTGACCAAGAGCAGTTGTAATATCGCATACATGAACGGTGTGTGCCGTTTCGCTCAGCTACTGTGTGCGATTGCGTGCAAGTGCTCGGAGTGGTCAAAGTGCTTCAGGTGCAGCTATCTAGCCTGACCAGACCTCTTCCCTGCAGGCGAAGCCTGCCGTAGGGTCAGGGTAACTTCATGGGGCTCTTATTCTTGAAATGCTCAACTCGTTTGCTAAGCGGCAAAGGAAGAGGGGCAGCAAGAATATGGCAGGGGGGAGGAGCTGTGGAGCTACCATGCAACTGCTCTGGAGGCCCAGATTCCGGTTGGTACAGCCTAAAGATCTGCTGAGACGTCCAAGGCAGGCTTTTATGAGGCAAGACTACACCGGAGGCGAGGGAAGAGTGGCGGCAAAGCGCCGTTTTTCTCATTGCAGCCGCCGCATTGGGAAGGGCAGGGACGTAGAGGAGAGCTCAGGAAAACAAAATTGTGGAAGCACAGACACCCACAGATACATACAGAAAAACATTGACTGCCAGGGGCGGGAACAGTAAAAATGTGATGAGTTAGGGAGTAAGCCGGAGGGACCTTCCAAGAACTCCTGGGGTATTAAGCATACTGAAACAACATTTCGGGGTGATTCCTTTTCCCCACTGCTTCTCCGAGGTACTGATTCCCTGAGTCCATCAATTCTGTAATGCGCAAAAAACAGGCCTTAATGCATCTGTTCTGCAAAGAACCTCTCGTACTGTGGGGCCCCTCGGTCGGCGTACGGCTCGGCCGAAAGGCTCTCCTGCTGAGAGCGGTGGCACCACTTTTGCTGCCTTTCCCGATTCTGAGCCCATTTTGACGACTCATTATGATTATAAATATTTCTGATGCCCAATAGATAGGGAATAGAAGGCTCAAAGCTTGCTAACTAACACCCCGACGCCGCAGGCGACCGCAGCAGGTGACCCTCCTGGACCGAGAGGGAACGTCAGATCTGTGTCGATGAGCCTCAATGGCCTTTTTAAAGAGCCTAATTCTCTCCTAACTGCAGCATAGAGTCTTCTTCAGTGCCCAGGGTTCTTAAAGGAGGAAGCAGACACAGCGGAGAGGCGAGGGCCACACGCCTTGCCAACAATGGAGCCTTCAGTGCTCCTGCTGAAGCTTTTCCAATAAGGCAGATGTGCAATGGAGGATGAGGAGGCAAGAAACAGCGCCCTTGAGCAGGGAGCCCTTGGTAAGGTGCGATTTTGGAGACACGCTACACGCGGAACTAACAGCTACAGAGCAGCCGCCAGAGGCATGTGCGGCAGATGAACATCCTATGCCCCTCAAGAAAGGCAGCGATCTGTCTCAGACAGGCGGATCGGAAGCAACGATTGCAGGAATATCAGAGGCTCCAACTGTCCAAACAGGACCGCTGGCACCAAAAGCGAAGGGAGAAGGAGACTTTCGATCAGAAGAACCAATACTCGAATTCATGCGAACTTGCGGAAGCGACACTCTGCAGCACAAGCGGCTGCAGCAGGCTCCTCAGCGATGGGTACAGCACCATCACAACCCGATACTCGAGCCCGAGCAGCACCAGCAACAAAAGCAGCAACCGGAGGGACAGCAGATGATGGTGGAATCCTGCAGCTACAACACTTCCTCATCGGATAGGCAGTCCGCTTATTCCCCCCAAGCTCATCAGTGCAGTAAGACACACATTGGTGGACAGCTTGCTAATCGGCTTCTGCCTGTGGCACTTGAGGGATGCTCGTGCTCGTTGTAAAACTCGGCATCTTCTTCTGCTGCCTTTGAAAGAAACGGCCCCTTTCCGAGGTGCTGCGGCGGCTGCATTGCCTCTATGCTCTTGCATCATCCCTTCTTAACGCTTGTGCCTCTCCACTGCTTCTGACTGTGCTCACAGAAAAAGTCACCAGCACGAGCCTCTCCGGTGCCAGAGGGGGAAGCCACACCCGAAGAAGCCGTCCTAGCAGCAGGGAAATAACAATCCACAGCTCTCCCCCCCAAGTTGATCGCTCCAGAAAAGACGC